AGCGAAAGAAGTGGATTCACTGCTTCGAGAATGTCAATTGTCTGCTGTTTCTGGTTGCAATTAGTGGCTACGACCAGTGTTTGGTAGAGGACAAGGATGGAGTCAGTATTTTCCAGATTACGAATTTGCGGATCAGATCTAACAACTGTACAGAACCAAATGAACGAGGCGCTCATGCTCTGGGAGTCGATTGCCAATTCTCACTGGTTTGCCAGGTCTGCGCTGATCCTCTTCCTCAACAAGATGGATCTGTTCAAGGAGAAGCTCCCCAAGAGCCCTATTACGAATCACGGCTTTACAGATTACCACGGCCCCAAGGACGATTACAAGGCGGCCAGCAAATACTTCTTGGACAAATTCAAGGCCCTAAACAGAAACACCGAGAAGGAAATATACGGCCACTTCACCAACGCTACCGATACTAACTTGCTCAAAATCACCATGGCCTCCGTTCAGGACATGATCATCCAGCGAAACCTCAAGCAACTTATCTTATAACGAACTCAAACTTTCTAATTGCGAGTTGATCTGTGCAAGTTTTTTCGACATCTCAAAATATAAATGGGCATACGGCGTTTGGATATCTCGGGGTGATACCCGCGATCACTTCAACACAACTTCATGAATCACCAAGTGCATCATGGCGAAGATTGGCCAGCATAGTCGGCGCAGAACTCTTTATCCTCGGTTCTCGAGCGATATACCTGCTTCGAATCTTATGGGCTCGGGTTCTCTTGCAGGCGACATATTCACACGCTCTGTACACCTTGCTACAGACCATTTATGTGTATGCCAGGCCCTTGAACCCTTGCACTGTCAACGTAAGGCTGGGCTGTCGCCTGTAGATCGATCTGGGCTCTCCGGCAAATTTCCCCGGGTATCAGTGTACAAAAGTTCGTGACGAGTCATGCTCGCTGAAGTCCCAGGGCGCATTGGGTCAGAAGTGGAACGAGGGCCGAGCGGCTGGTTGAATTATTTTTTTAAATGCATTGCATTGCATGATACCTAAGGCGCTAGGGTGTTGTTTTTCCTCCGGCTGTTTTTCATTGCTTACTTAAAAAGGCAATGTTGGCTAGGCTTCGGTTTTTCCTTTTTAGTGCTCATGATGAGACACGATAAAACAATGAGGGATTGGTTACGTATAGTAAATATATAGAGAAGCATCCGTAATAGGACATTCGGGATCTAACCGTACCATTGTGGCACAATACTGCACGTTAATCGACGGCCAGAGTGGCACAAATAACCCATGCTTCGCTTCGCTTCTGCTGAAGAAACAACGCTTTGACAACGGCTTCAGCCCAGCGGCCACATGGCTGCTCGGGCCATGTTTGTATGGTATGGTATGTGTGAGGAACAGGACGATGGACAGTGGATTCGTTCGCTCGCTCGCTTATGAGGCGGGATTATGGTCATGTAGTCGAGACCGTGGATCGTGTCGATTGCTCGCTTTATTGAGCTGAAGCGTACTGATACAGTGATGCAGAAGTGCAAGCTGAGTTGAGATCTGTTGCCAAGCTATGATCTACAGAGCCTTTGGTCATCAGTGTCATCCCGGGACTATAAACTGTCCGTTCATATGGTTACTCATCATAGCGGAGGGCGTTATTGAGTCTTGTCAAGCAATTTCGCAGATCCTATTAACTAACGATAAAAGTTTGATTATATGTGCCAAGAATGCTAGTCGATTCACTGGTTGAAACCAGATCGATTTATTAGCCATCGAAGATACCTACCTACCTACTAGTCTAGTACCTAGTGAATGTTCGTTACTGTTTCTCAATATGACCAGGGGTTCTTAAGACGCAGTGTGTCTTAATATATATACAGTAATCAGATCGAATATCCATATACACCAAGCACCTGTATCTGGAGGCGGGTCTGGACTGTGTAATCCACACACAATGATTAGTTCGCCTTAAAATAGTATTTTCAGGGTCTGCATTTCTTCAGTAATTGATTCCTTGATGGCAGATATAGGTAGAAGAATAACTAAGCCTACCGGTAATAGAAGCTATAGCTAAACTTATACATGGTACAGAGGCCTTTTGTGCAAGTGACCTAATCACAACTGTGTTGACGAGAGTAAGAGGTCAGTCGCTGCAGGCAACCTCTGCGATGGGCCGAATGAGATTTAACCCACCTGGGGAGGTTAACTTCACTGTTCAAAGTATTTAAGAACGACCTCGACAATAAAAAAACAGTGAACAGCAGCTAGTTGAGCCTCAGAAAGAGGAACAATACAAGAAATTAGGGATCGTATAAATCTACCATGTCATGACGGCGGCAGCAGGTTCAATACAGCATACCTAATTGGATACCACTCTTATTTTGTTCCCCCACCTTAATAACTTCATCGCCAGCAGCTTTTTATCTTTCCCTCTGAGCCCCCACATTCTCTTCCTCACACATTCAACTCAAAGTACATGTTTCGTCGTTACTTTGTCACAATGGCCGAATCAGCAGCTAAGCGTGTTAAGACTTCGGGCAACGGCCCTCTCATCGGCACTCACAATGGCCACTTCCACGCTGATGAGGCCCTCGCCGTCCACATGCTCCGCCGCCTTCCTACCTACCGTGACGCCGACCTTGTCCGTACCCGCGACCCTGCTGTCCTAGCTACCTGTCACACCGTCGTCGATGTCGGCGGAGAGTACGATGCTGAGAAGCGCCGCTTCGATCACCACCAGCGTGGCTTCACCACCACTTTCCCCGGTCGCCCTACAAAGCTCTCCAGTGCTGGTCTGGTCTTCCTACACTTCGGCCGTGCTATCGTTGCTGATCGCCTCGGACTGCCTGAGGATTCTTCCGATGTCGAGTTGATCTATAACAAGTTGTACGAGAACTTCGTCGAGGCCCTCGATGCCCACGACAACGGTATCTCTCTCTATGACCCTGCTGCCATTGCCGCTGCTGGTATTGAGAAGCGCTTCAGCAACGGCGCCTTCGGTCTCGGTGCCATGGTCGGACGTCTGAACCCCAACTGGAACGACCCTACTCCCTCTGACCCCGCTGAGGCTCAGGCTGTTGAGGACGCCAAGTTCAACGAGGCCAGCAGCCGTATTGGTGAGGAGTTTGACCGCGATCTCGACGGTTACGCTGCTTCTTGGCTACCTGCCCGCACTATTGTTCAGGAGGCATTCAACAAGCGAACACAGTACGACGAGCAAGGCCGCATTCTTGTTCTCGAGGGCCAGTCTGTCCCTTGGAAGGACCATCTGTACACTCTTGAGGATGGTGCCCCCTCAGTTCTCTACGTTTTGTACGCCGAGAAACCTGAGCCTGGTGCCAAGTGGCGTATTCAGTGCGTGCCTGAAAGCAAGGACTCATTCGTGAGCCGAAAGCCACTTCCTGAGGCTTGGAGAGGCTTCAGGGATGCTGAGCTCGATGGCATCAGTGGCATTCCTGGCTGCGTGTTTGTCCACGCGGCTGGTTTCATCGGTGGAAACAAGACCTTCGAGGGTGCCAAGGAGATGGCGACCAAGGCTTTGAATGCTTAAGCTACGAACTTCTCAGTCGAAGTGCAATTTGGATGATGGATTATTTCTACGAGGCCATGAACAAACAAGGGAACTCTGGGGAAATACTACATGTGAACATGAAGAAAAAGGGAAATAGAAAGGCTGCTTCGGAAACCGAAGCATGTAGCTAAAAATACCAATGAACATGATGACTCTGTGCGCGGAGAGGATGATGTTACTCTCTCTCATCTCCCGCTATCAAACAACCTAGCCTATCTGATGTTTTCAGATTGAGATATGTCCCTTTCGTGCGTGCGAACCAGATTGTTTGCCAATTCCCAAACGCCAACTGTGCGATCCTCGTAAGTCGTCAAACCCAATTGCGCAATCCACTAAAAGTCCACGCACAAGACTTCGTACAAGCAAACCACCATTTCGTGATGTGCATGATATAAAGAAAAAATGAAACGAAAAAAGACTATTCCGTTATTCCTATTGCAACCGCATATTTTTCGCTTATTCTCACGGATATACTCTATCTTCGGATGGGGATGCCCTCGCCGCCGGCGGCAACAGGCTCGGGTGCAACGGCGTCTGTATCCTGGGGCTGGGCGGCGTTATCTCCCTGTGTCTCCTCGGCGCTGGTCTCGCTCTTCAGAAAGCTGCTCTCCTTGATAGGACTGCCGGCTTGGATGCCAGGGACGGAGCCGTGGTGCTTGGGGACGCTGGCTGAGGAGCCGTTCACCGGGGAGGAGAGGTGGGGAATGTTCTCGGGGACGGGGTGTTGAGATCCGACAGCACCAGCGTCGACGCCGTCGCCCTTACCGGCCTTGGACATGGCATAGTCCCCAGAGTCGAAGTACTTGCGATCCTTGAGATGCTTGGCGAAGTGGTCGGATCGGGAGGGCAGCTTGCCATAGAGGCGGAAAAGGCGCTGCTCCTCGGGAGTGAGTGACTATAACACGGAAGGCATATCGTTAGCAACAAGTCAAATAATGTTTATAGATCATTATCGGTATTAAGGTGGTGGTAAATGAACGGTGTTGGCGAGTTGGAGTGTTTGCTGTCGTGGGCACCGAGTCATGGATAGAGGGGAGCTTGAGTCGTCTGAGGTTGCTTTCTCAAGGGTAGCTTACCTTGACGTCGACCTTGTTCTTCTGGTGAGGGTTCATGGCGAAGATGGTTTGGACTGAAACGCTCAGGTCGATATCACGAGTGACGTGTGAGTTGAAGGACAAAGAAATGCAGTGCAGCTCTCTTTGTTAATATGGGTGCAGTGCCTGTGCGGTACGGTCAAGCGTCGTTTTGAAGGGATCAAGTCTGAGACTGGCGGGGGAATTTGTTGGAGGGTCGCAGGTCGTGGTACGGGATCGTGCCTGATTGGGGGGCTGAGCAGCAGTTGGGTATGATGTAGCTGAGAGCCTGAGAGGTCTGCTACTAGTGGGGTTACATGGATTACAGTATCCAGCTTGGTTGGTTGGCAGACAATGGCTGGCTGCTGGCTGCCCAGTCTCAGAGTCTTAGAGTATTTGCGCTGTAGTCTACCTATGAAGATAGCGGGGGTGGTCGCTTTGGTGAATACACGTCATAAGTGCATGGGCTGAAACATGGATGATTCCAGGGATGGCGTGTCGAGCAGGCTGGTGGTTTATCTATCTCTCCATAACTCGGTTGATATCTCCTGAATGACAGCGAATCTACCTTGGTTCCCGAAGTGGCAGCATGCTGTAACGTACTGGGTATGTAACTGATAACTTCGTCTTCTAGCTTTCACATGCACATTGCATATTGTGAGCGGGTCTTACGGAGTACCGCAACACAACGTCACTTGTTGCAACACCCAGTATCGACGCATGACATGCTGCCACGGTACAGTGCTTCTTCGCTGAACTATGCTATACCAAGCGTCATATCTCATCGAGAGAGCTGCTGCTATGATTCAGGCATACTCGTCGCATTGATTTATGCCATGTCTCAGTGATGTACATTTCTGTCAGATACTGCAGAACTATCAACCCAGGGTATTTGGAAGTCCAAGATGGCCTAACTATGCAGAGGCCCCCGTTTACATGCTTTGCCAAACCATTCCATACAGTGTTCGGAGATCGTCAGGGCCTATCTGACTGGTCCCCGGATAGCCTGCATTGGATTTGACATCCATTGATACCCAGTGCATGGTCTTCTAATACCAGGGTCCCTCGGAGAGCCACAATTGGGCATCTGGACTCAAAATTGCGGTTATTGTGCCCAGGGAACTGTCTCTATCTGGAAACAAAACATTTCAATGCTGAACAAGCTTTAGTGACATCGAAGGGCATTGGCGGAGTTCACCTATGCTTGCGGTAAGAGGGTGTCTTGACTGGGTGAGCTTGATGAGATTCTGACGTTTGCCAGTGTCAGAGCTTTGCACCTTTCCTCTCGTTTCTTTGCTCTTTGCTTATCTCTCCTCTACCCATTGGCATTGAAACGGCGGCTGAGATTACTGTAACAGATTGTGTGGTTGGTTGGTTGGCTTGGTTCACCTCGATAAGGACATGAAATGCGGCTTAAGCTGGGGTACATCGCTCACATGGCATCCTCTATCTAGTGTCATCAGCCGTCCATTGAGCTAGGAACGGAAGCCAACACACACTACAACACTGTAACACCATCGGCGGCATTCCATCTCCGGACATGCTTCAACTCTACGACATTATAACGTCTCTACTTCTCGTTCCTAGGCGAGCTTCCCGGTTACCCAGTCATGCTGTCATGCTTTGTTCGACATCGTTGATGCTACCTGCGCCTCTTCCTTGACATATATTTCAGGGGATTTTGTCGCCCTGGCCTGGCAAGTGCTTAGCCACAAGATAGTACCGTGGTGTCGATCTCTCGATCATAGAAGTAATCAATGAGGCATGCGGCGTCTTTCTTGGCTCCCGGACTCTACAGCCGGGAGCCTGAAGGGGTGCTGGCTAATGATCGCCGTATAACAAAGTTCAGTGTTGCTCGGCCGGGGGTTTGATGCACCCCGCAAGCCGAAGCGGCTGCTAATGCATAAGTGCGGTACAGTCCTGTTGGAGTATAGCAAACTCGCGGTGGCTTGTTAAAGTTTCTCGGTTATGAGAAAGTTAACAAAATGGCTTGGCTGCTGGCAATGCCCAGTTTCAGACACTGAAGATATGCTGTTTTGGCCATCGGCAGTTGATACAGTTGGCTTTGGAACACTGCATGCCCGCTCCTTTTGCAATGCTTGGACTGGAAGAGATCGGACATCTCTGTTTGACCCTGAATGCTGATAGGAAAGTCTCGCGCCTCGTTTGAGGATGGAATTAGAAGACTAACTCTTTGCCGTGGGAGCTAACTGATACCGGCAATACTCGAGGACTGTGTTCCATTCCTTAAAATGGGCATTCGTACAACACATCCTGATTTGAGAATTCCCATTGTCAAATCTGCACAATCACGAGAACGAGGGTCCAATTAGCAAGCCACTTCAGATGAAAATGAGGTAGAGCAAAAGGGCTTTGCGCGAGACTCGACATTTTGATTCAGATCAACGTCCCAGGATGTTTATCCAGACGTTGCATCATCATACTGTAAAGTACCAATCATGAACATGGCCTCCATCCTCGTTGCAGGGTATCTTCAGCATGCCAGCTCAGTTGCACCTTGTTGGTCACAGCTAGTCACTGCCGCGTGACTCGAGGAACAACTCTAGCCGGTTGGCTCCTATGGCTGCCACATTGGTAAGTCAGTTCTCGACTTGCCTTGCAGTACTATGCACAGTAGGGGAACGGTTACATAGTCACGAGGGACATGGATTTCCCGTGTCCGGTTTAGCCGACTTTGTTTGCACTGTTGATCATGGATCAATTAAAACAAGCTCACTTTGGGTTCGGAATATTCGAATCCAATTGGATCCGGCGCAGTACGGTAATCCAACACGACGGACATAAGTCGGATATGTTTGCTCTGGAATGAATGACAGCATGAAACCGGAGTCCAATCAGCCGAGTGAGTGGATTGTGGCGGTAAGGTATTCGTATAGTACAGTACCGCGGCTCTGGGGAATGAGATGCCTGTTTCATGTGTTTCTTGTTCTGTTCTGGAATTCACGATGGAACAACAATCGAAGTCAGATAGAAGGGCCAAGTCTATGCCCATCCGTGCATGCATTAGGTAGTGTCAGCGGTAAGAACAAACTTCTTGTAGCTCCAACGTCTCGTCTCCTGCGGGCAGTTGCCGTGTTTTGCTGCGTGTACAACGTCTTGGCTCTCCGCAGCTGCAGAATTGCCGCCGGCTTTGTTTGATGGTCTGTGGGTTTACGTACGATCTGCTGCATGTAGGAAGTGTTTGCTTAGCAATTCGGAGATGATATTGTAAGCATAACGGCTCCCGGTTACATGGAGTTGGTTGACGTCGGCAGCAACACTTGGTAGGGCTGGCTGACTTGAATCGATGTATGGAACACAACACAGTCTGAAGATGTATTCGAAGTGAGCTGATTTAACATGATACATGCCACAATGATAACATGAGAGAATACGCAATAAGATATTGGATGTCGTCCTCTCTCTGCCCGTGGGAGTTACCTACCCTGTACTGTTGTACCGCGCAAATTGCCGGCTCTCGCCCCTCCACTCCCTGGTCGGTTGTCCCTATTACAGCTAGCGTGGGATGGCATCATCTGGCCCTTGTCCGATTTGATATTTTCAGTCGATTTCTAAGCAGAAAATCCGCTCCGCACGGCAACGAGATGATGCGATGCGATGCAACAGCCATGACAAGCCGGCAGGAGAGGAGGATGAGCAACGATAAGAGCATTCGATGTGCTGTAGATAGTATGGAGTAATAGACTAATTTAAAGAATTGTTCCCACTGAAAGAAAAAAAAAGGTTCCACTGGCAAAACCCCCAATCATCAGTTCAAGATAGGCCTGGAACTGCTTTTTTCGGCGCTTCTTTCTACTTTGCTTAACGGACAACCCCGCGGAATTGGACTTGAGTCTCGGCTGCCAAATGCGACAAGAGGAATAGTCCAGTTAAGAAAGAGACTATTAAGCTTTTCCTTTTCACTCCTCAACCATTACCTATATTCCCCTTCCTCTGTCTGTACCTGTCAATTGATCGACACGGGCCGTTGCTCTTCTTTTTTTTCTGTCAACGCCTTTCGGGTCGTCGCTTCAACCATTGATTGACCAAAAGAAGAGGATCCCCGGGATACGACAGACTGATAAGAGGCCATCCTTCCTGTTATCTCAAGACTAAAAAAAAGTTATTGCTTCTTGACGACAAAGCCGAGACTCCGACATCCAATCCATCTTGGATGAGAGAAGGACTAGCGTCCACCTGCCGATTTCGCTTTAACAGAGATCCTATCCGTACCTCGGGATTGAACTGTCATACATCATAGTCCAGCTCAGTTCAGTCCAGTCCAGTCAAGTCAAGGCACTCAACTCAGACCTCAGATTTGATCATTTTATCTGAATCTCTATCTCTCATCTCATCTCATCTTTTTACCCGGATTTCGTCATCTTGAACAAATCTCTCCGAATACCGACAAATCAAGACCGGCGCGTTTAAGCGACCAACCAGGCTCTAGGCCCGAAAATTCCATCTTCAACCCGCATCACGTTGCTTTTTTCTGTCCTGCAAAGCTCATATTCTGTCTCACCATGGGTCTCTTGTAAGTTAGCATCACATGCAAGTTCCTGAGGATACATGCGCTGACAAGACTTCAGAGCTCTGGGAACTGCCCTCGACTGGCCCGATGCCAAAAAGCGTGCCCCTCAAGTGAGAGAATGGGGTATCAAGGTAAGTCACTCACAATACCCTCACTCTTCCAGCTCTTATACACTATGCGCCAATAGATCGCTGACACCCTTATGTGTGTATAGCAACTGTTGGAGATATGGAACAAAGCCAAGGGCAAGGAACGGGACGCTCTTCTGTGGGGTGACGAGGTTAGTTCTGGCCGTCAAGGACTCAATACCACTCAACTAATAACTTAAATAGGTCGAGTATCTTGTTGTGGTGTACTCCGAGGACAACCAGCGAGTGCTGCTGTCTCTCCGTCAAGCACAGATCCTGGAGGCCCTAGCCGCCGATAAAGACCTCAAGAAGCAAGGCGGTTGTGTCCCAGAACTTGAAGAGGCGACCGGCACAGCCGACACGAAGAAGACGTTCGTCAACCACCCCAAGCTTGTAGTACTCTTGTTAACCGCCATCCAGGGAACGGACTATTCCTGTTTTCCACCCCGAGTTCGGGCGTTTTATGCTGGAAGCTACTCCGGGTAAGCCCTGGGGTATCGGCTTCAAGGAGCTTCTCGATGTTGAACCGGACATGAAGCTGCGAAGGAAGATTGCCAAGGAGCACATGCTCTCAACAGAGTATCCCATCACCCTCACAACTTATCCTCAGATTGGTGTTCCTGGACAGTTTACCGACCCTTACTTCCCACCATCAGGATCCCGTCTTCGCTCTCAATTTGTCCCGGATGAGATCGCCAATCCTCATATCAGATTCCCGACCCTAGCAGCCAACATTCGCTCACGACGAGGCCGCAAGGTTCAGGTCAACGTCCCCATCTTTCACGATAAGAACACACCGAAACCCTGGAAGGATCCCACTGTAAACTTCGACAAGCACGACTGGCCTGAGGACGACGATGTGCGAAACGGGGCAGCCCCTGATGACTTTATCCATATGGACGCTATGGCTTTTGGAATGGGCAGCTGCTGTCTCCAGATCACTTTCCAGGCCAAGAACATCACTGAAGGACGAATGCTTTACGACCAGCTGAGCCCACTTGGTCCCATTATGCTGGCTTTGACCGCTGCGACACCTGTGTATAAGGGGTTCCTTGCCAATACAGATGTGCGGTGGAACCAGATTAGCCGCTCTGTTGACTGCAGAACACCACAAGAGCTGGGAGAAGAGGTATGTGTTAATCCCACTTGTGAAACGAAATACGTTACTTACATCGTAACAGCCTCTTACAGAAGGTGTCAGGAGAATACCAAAGTCGCGGTATGCATCTAACTCGACATATATCGCTATAGACCCGCGGTTGAGAAACGAGTATCTCGACCCTGATCTGGTATACGACTCCGACATCAAGCGGCAACTCCTCGAGGGCGGCATGGACGACCGCTTGGCCACCCACTTCGCTCATCTCTTCATCCGTGACCCTATTGTCGTTTTTGAGGAGGATCTCCAGGAGTTGGATCTCACCAAGACCGACCACTTCGAGAACATCCAGTCAACCAACTGGCAGCACATGCGTTTCAAGCCCCCGCCTGCTGACAACAGCATCGGCTGGCGAGTCGAGTTTCGTTCGATGGAAATTCAGATCACAGATTTCGAGAACGCCGCCTTCTCTGTGTTCATGGTCCTGGTCACCCGTGCTATCCTCTCCTTTGATCTGAACTTCTATATCCCTATCAAGAAGGTAGATGAGAACATGGAGCGCGCGCACGAGGTGGACGCCGTCTTGAAGGAGAAGTTTTACTTCAGGCGCAACCCTTTCCCTAGCCGTCCCTCCAGAGCAAACACCACATTCGGCGACGATAGCCGACCTGGGTCAGCTCACCCTAGTCGACCAGCATCCCCTGGCGGCCCCGTAGAGCACGAGTTCGAGGAGATGACCGTCAACGATATTATCAACGGCTCAGAATCAGGCGAATTCCCTGGACTCATTCCCATTGTCGAGAGCTACCTTGATAGTGTCAACGTCGACGTCTCGACCAGATGCCACCTGTCCACATACCTCGACCTGATTTCCAAGCGAGCAAGCGGAGAACTCGACACCACAGCACGATGGATCCGCAACTTTATTAATGTGCACCCCAATTACAAGCACGACAGCGTGGTCAGCGACGAGATCAACCACGACCTTATCGGCGCCGTGATTGCCATTGGTGAGCGAGAGACAGCCGGCCGTGACTTTGCAGGTCTCGGCATCCACGGTCTGGAACGGTTGCTCAACGGTTTCCGTGGAGGTTGCGGCGGCAGCAGCAACGGCAGCTCGAATAAGACCCCCAACGGAAACTCACACGCGGCAGAGACGGAAGCAGTTAACGGCTCCCTTAAGCGGAAGAGCGAGTGGATTGATGGCCAGGAGGTGATGGCATCGTGAAACAAAAACGGCACAGCACAGCACTTGGGTCGGAGTTCTTGGTCCTGTTTGTCTTTTCTTCTTTTGCCCTTTTTTTTTATATCTCGTACTGTAATGAATGTACTTAGACAGAGGTGATGTGCAGTTCAAGCAAGAGGTTTCAGGATATACCAATAATGTACTGTACTATCTTGGCTTTGTTCTGGCCGACTCAGTTGAGACACGGCACGGCTGTTGCTGTTGCTAAAGGCCATCGGATAGATTTCTTCCGAGTTTATCGCACACCAAAAGAATACATATAAAAGGTTCTAGACCTTGGTCGTTAGGATGATGTCTCAATCATGGTGGTGATAGTCTGACTCGTCTGACATACCTGATGGCAGATTTAAACTCGGACGAGATGGTGACAACCCCCAACCAATTGTTGAATCTCAGCCAGCATGATAGCCAACCGTGTGATCATCAGGGCCCTAGCCAAGCCCGTCTGCACAGCACGATGGCCTAGGACTTATCTCGATAGAGTCAGTCAACATCTGTGCGTTCGGAGCATTTTCTCATTTTGAGGCATAGTATCGCCATGCAAGGAATTCTGGATCTCTATGCAGGAGTCAAGCAAAGTCAATATCAGTCCGAGCGTACGGATACTATAGTCAGCTATTTGCTGCATGTAAGAGAAGAGTCCCTGTCAACGTCAACGTCAACTCAATGTCAACTCTTAGGAACTCTCAGCCGTGTCGTGCCGTGCCGCACCCTGGACAGGAGGTATAGCGCCTTCTAATCCTTCGGCCACTTCTAGAAAGAAAGACACGATTCCAGGTTCTATTCTTTTCGTTTCTTTGTTAGTATCAAGTCTACAAAATCGCATGTCTTTGAGTTGTGGCTTATGTACTAACTTAAAGGGGGGGTCTTTCTTTACTTTTGTTGCCCTTCCTTCCTTGTTCAGCTGGAATCCTCATAAAGATTGAATAAGGAACTTGGGAACTTTAATCAGATCATGGTTATTTTGACATGTCCCATACATCAGAATACTGTATCATCTCCGATTCTGAGGAGAGAAGAGAAGAGAAGAGAAGAG